TGTGACCATTTTAACAATATTGATTCTTCCAATCCAAGAGCATGGACTCTGACCACTTTTAAGATTTTATAAGAGAATAATTTTATTTTTCTCATTTTCAGCAATAATTTATAATGTGACTTGCTATGTGTGTGGGTTTTTTTTTTTAATGATATGCTTGGGGCTCTCTGATCTTTAATTGATAAGATTATAGTTTTCAACAATTTCTTAAAATGCTTTTATTTCTCCAAAATTTTTTCCACTCTTCTTGCTTCCTTCCAAATACTCATGTTAGACCATTTGTTCCACAGGTCACTGGGGTTCTTATTTTTTGTGTGTGTTTTTATTTTTTGTCGTCTTTGTGCTTCATTTTAGATAAACTCTTACTATTTTAGATGAACTGTAACATTTTAGATAGACTCAAGCTCACTGCTCTTTTCTTTTGCAGTGTCTCATCAGCTGTCAATCCCATCTATTTTGTTTTTTGTTTCGTATACTGTATTTTCATATCTAGAATTTCAGTTTAGTTTTTTTCTTTATATCTCTGAGAATATAGAACATGTTTATAATATCTATTTTAATAGCCTTTTCTGCTGATCCCATCATTCTGTCATTTTTATGCCTGTTTTTGTTAATTAAGTGTTTATTGGTCAGGAGCCTGAAATTTAGTACTATTGCTGTAATCTTAATGTCTTTAAATATGAAGAAATTCATTCTCTTATTGTTTATTTTTTTCTGGTCTAAGAATCCAAACCCAGATAAAGAAAAACCTCCTTGTAATGCTCAAGAGTTAGAAGAATGTGATATTTTCTTTGAAGAGAGTTCCAGTTTATGCAGATTTGATGGCAGTACATTAAAAACTACTCATGTGGTAAGTTCTTGATAATATTTCTAAAAATTTGTGAATAAATAATTATTCAGATGAGATGATAATTGATGGACCAAAACACATATTTTGCAGACAGCTTGGCTGTGATATAAATCTCATTGCTCCCTAAGGAAGCCATCTTTTCATAACATCACCCCTAATAAAACAGTGTTGTATTGTTTTGGTGCTACTGCAGATTGGTATGTTTCAGTGGGCTTTCTTTTCTGTGCAGATTTTTTATATATAGTTGTACCTGTAATATATAACAACCTGACATCTAACTTTTCTTCTCACTGTCCTTCCCTAACCTTTTTTGGATACTTAACTTTTTTAAATTAATGGCTGAACATAATAACACTCAAAGGAGTTATAAAAATGAGCATTTTTAGATTATACTTATGTAGACAGATGAGGTGGAATGGCAGAAGATCAGTGGCTAGAAAGCAGTGTCATTGAAGTTTGTTCCAAAATTACTTACATCTTACGATTAACTTCTGCATCTGCTCTGCTTTCCTTCCCATCATTCTGTGACACCAACAACTTCTAAAAAGAGAGATGACATTTTGCTTATTACCAGAGTCTAACACCTACCAAAGGTCCTGATTCTGGTAGGTGCTTAAAAAATATTTTTTTTTAAACATTTTTTATTGATTTACAATCATTTTACAATGTTGTGTCAAATTCCAGGGTTCAGCACAAGTTTGCAGTCATACATGGACATATACACATTCATTGTCACATTTTTTTCTCTGTGAGCTACCATAACATTTTGTGTATATTTCCCTGTGCTCTACAGTATAACCTTGTTTATCTCTTCTACAATTTTGAAATCCCAGTCTGTCCCTTCCCGCCCTCCGCCCCCTGGCAACCACAAGTCTGTATTCTCTGTATATGAGTCTATTTCTGTCCTGTATTTATGCTTTGTTTTTGTTTGTTTTTGTTTTTGTTTTTTAGATTCCACATATGAGCGATCTCATATGGTATTTTTCTTTCTCTTTCTGGCTTACTTCACTTAGAATGACTTTCTCCAGGAGCATCCATGTTGCTGCAAATGGCATTATGTTGTCAGTTTTTATGGCTGAGTAGTATTCCATTGTATAAATATAGCACATCTTCTTTATCTAGTCACCTGTTGATAGACATTTAGGCTGTTTCCATGTTTTGGCTATTGTAAATAGTGCTGCTATGAACATTGGGGTGCAGGTGTCTTTTTGAAGTAGGATTCCTTCTGGATATATGCCCAAGAACAGGATTCCTGGGTCATATGGTAAATCTATTCCTAGT